ATCTATGCAAAAATAATTGAAACATTGAAAAATATTTAGAAATTTCACGCGCATGCGCATGAAAGCTGAATTCGAAACACTGAAGAGCGAATATTTTTCCGTGATTCCCGAGTTAATAGTCTACCTGTCAAAATTTTCACGAAGCCGTAGGTGGCACGCGAGGGCGCAGGAAAGCTGAATTTGAATAGGCAAGGTTGAGCATGGGCAGGGGGTCATTATCCTAAAATTTTAGCTTCCTGAACCCCGTGATTCCCAAAATAATAATTTACCCGTCAAAAATTTTCATGGGGCCGTACTTGTTACCCGCGGGCAGGGAGAAGCTGAGTTTAGATTTTCTGGGTAGTACTTGGGCGTGGGACATGCTCACAAAATTTCAGCCTTCTACCTCCAGTTGTTCCCGAGATACTGGTTTACGCGAAAAACTTTTACGCGGCCGTACTTGTTACCCGCGGGTACGGGAAGGCTGAATTTAAATTTGCCGCGACACCCGTTGGCTGGAACACTATACTAAAATTTCAGTCACCTAGCTTTTGTGGTTCCCGAATTGAAAGTGCGAGACAAAATGTGATACACCCACATACACACACACACACACACACAGAAACACACACAGACAAACCCGTGACAATGTGCGTTTTGTACTACTGTTACACAGCACAAAACGCATAAAAAGTGGCAATATTGCTAGAGAATCCCTTGTTTTATGGAAGTTCAGTGCGAATTGATGGACAGAAAAAATTAACTCTTAATTTCGAGAAAGACAAGCTGAATTTTTATTTTTTAATTCTTTGATATTTTGTAAGAATTTTGATAAATTTGATATATCGTCTTTGGTAAACCAATAATTTGGTAAACAAAACAGTTGTCTGTTAGCGTAACTTTCAACAACCTACATGCACTAAATCTTTCCAAGATAATTTTTGGATGTATTGTGTACCAGACATTTTCATCTCCATTGCCAAGCAACTAGAGAGCCAAATTCATCAGAAACACAATCAAGTAAGTGTTAATAACTCACAAATAAAAATTATACAAGCGTTCGAAGAATGACATTTCGACGCCGAGATTGCTCTCTTCAATCACGGGAACGTAAGCGAGAGGCGTAGGAACACCTACAAAGTATATAACAGATCTAATTCAAGATAACACTGACTACTGCTTTATATTAATGATATGATCTCCTGCTGAATTTTTGACGTCAGTCAACAAGAGAGAAGGACGTGTTGAAATTTAACGTGTCAGAAAGCTTGAAACAGACGTAAACGAAGACATTTCTCACGCAGGAGGGCCCGCTACTACTAAAACCGCCTGGGAACCAGTATGTGGATATTTCATATTTGTGACGTTACTGTCATTCCTCCATAAAACGGGCGTAGCTATGCCAGACACATGGGCCCGAGACACTTCCAGACAATACCAGCGCCTGTTCGGTGTATGTGCTTCATCTCTTTAGAGGGCACCTGAGTGATCCATAGTTCGAGGATAGTAGGGATACTATTTATGAAGGTGGACATCATGCCCGGTTCATCGGATTTTACTTTCTCGCATAACTGCAGTGACCCTGCACGTCGCTCTTTTGACTAAGAATCCGCCTATTTAAATGTTTGTAAAGACCGCACCAAGCAATTTTAGTTTCATCGCTTTCTCCGTTACAGCTAGCGCTCGCATTCAAGCTCATTTTCCACTATCAGCACAATGGTATTACAGAGGCAAGCGGGCAAGCAGGCGTAAAATGGGCTTTGGCGTATATCTATGTCACCCGTTCGGAGACACCGAAAATTTTTACAATCACAAGCGATTTCACTAGGCATTCAACTAGGAAGTTGAAACTTCACGAGGATATTCTCTGCCTATGCGCTATCTAAATATTTCA